AAAAAAAAAAAAAAAAAGAGAGACAATTAAACAGTGAGGTATACTTGGTTCTCTAAACACAAAATTGTCTGTGTGATCACTGTAATTCTGAGGTACTTCAAAGTATAAATTCTCTTTTTATTTTTTGGTACTGGGGATCAAACTTGGGACCTTGCGCTTGTGAGGCAGGCACAGAACCACTGAGCTAAATCCCCGGCCCATAAATTCTGTTTTTAAATCAATATTTATTATCCAAGATTCTGAGATAACATTTTATCTTTCTTCAAAAACAGAAAAAAAGCTACCTGTTACTCCCGTTCTAAATACTTTATAACACTGACCAAAAATAAGTTGATAATTCACCTAAGAAGTAACATTCATAATGCAAATATCAGCAAAAAATAAACATTTATAATGACTTTTCATTTTTATTCTTTTTTTTTGGTACTGGGGATCGAACTTCCGCTTATGAGGCAGGCACGGTGCCACTGAGCTAAATCCCCAGGCCTTTTTACATTTTTATTAAGTACAAATGCACATGGTCCTCCAATTATAAGGTACTTTATTTGAATTTATACTACCTATCACCTAATAAAATCATTACTCTCATCCTCTATTGTACCAAAACAAAAGGATTCAACTCTCAGTGCCATACAATTTAGCAGCAAAGGCACATGCACAAACATGACAAAAGCTCAGGAACAGTTAAATTAATATAAATTTTAAAAACATACTCAAACAAAATAAAGAGCTGTCATTCCTCAAATTTAAAAACTTATTCTCGCCAGGCACAGTGGCGCATGCCTGTTATTTCAGCACTGGGGAGGCAGAGGGAGGAGGATTACCATGAGTTGGACAGCAGCCTGGGCTACATAGTAAGTTCAAGGCCAGTCTGAACTACACAGTAGAGCCCCTGTCTCAAAAAAAAAAAAAAATATTCTCAAAGCAAAAGTACAAATTTTCTATTTGGAAAAAGATTTTACTACATTAAAATATGGTCTACAAAAAAAGTAGCTTACTTCAAAGAATTCTCTAAAACAAAGAACATGGATTTAGGCATACAAGGAAAAACCTAACTTAAAACCATATTATATAATTGTATTTTATTCCCCATATAGAGAAGCTCAGGACATATTTTACTTCAGAAATCCTGCCCAGTTAAAAAAAAATTTTCAAATAGCTCTCAACTGCCTACTTTGTAATTCAAATTTGTGCCAGCATTCAGGATATATAATCTGGCCATCCTTCTCTCACCAACTTTAAAGCCAAAAATAAAAAGACTGCATTCTTCAAAATCACATTCTCCTGCTTTCCTATTTTCATGCCTCTTCTTTTTTCTTCTGCTCAAAATGCCATTTTAAACACATATAAATAACCAACTACTGGGCCGGGGATTTAGCTCAGTGGTTTCGCCGCCTGCTGCACAAGCCCAAGGACCCGAGTTCAATCCCCAGTACCGAAAAAAATTTTAAAAATAACCAACTACTAAAGAACTGAAGAGTCTGATGTCCTTTTAAAGCACTACATACCTTCTATAAAATGACTAAGAACTATTTACTTCTATCTGTACACCATACTAAAATAATGACACTTAGGATAAGATATTTCCAATTAAACTAACAGAGCTAAAGTGATTAACTTGTGGTTCTGCCTATTATAAACTTCAATACTCTTTGTGTTTAATAGGTAAATTACAGATTAAGAGATCCAGCCAAAAACCTTCATTTTTTTTAAATAAATCCCTTCTACTGCAGCTAAAGTATTAATATCCAACCTACATACTTGTTATTTATGAAACTGTCTTGATTTCCTTGATTATTCTATTTTCAACAATTCCATATAATACCAATAATTTTGGCTGAAATCTCAACCTTCTGTACTATATATCATGAAGATTCTGATAAGATTCCCTTAGCAGTTTTTGCAACATTGTATCTAACCTATCTAACAATCCTAACAACTACCAGCTACAAGTTTTTTGGAAGTAAGTCAGGTATAAGATCTGTCTTTCAAAGATTGACAAAAAACATTCTTGGATAAAAAAGCATATTACTAAGCAGATAATGCAAGCAACAGACCTAAATGAAAAGCTGTTAGGGCAGCACTGTTTCTTGATCTGGGTGCTGTTTGCCCAGATGCACTGCCTTTGCAAAAATCAAACATATGCACTTATGAATTGTGCGTTTCTCTATATATTTCAATAAAACTTAAATGAAAGGGCTGATTGTTGCATCTCCACATCTATTACCATACCCTTCCTTCAGGAGGCTGCATTTGGTTTCACATTCTGTATTTTAAAAATCACAGGAAGTCTGCTATGCCACAATCACATGGATTAAGATGAGACAATTAGGTTAGTAAAAGCTAAGAAATTCAAGCCAGAGTAAATCAAAAAGTGACATCATAATGTACTCTTTGTATCTGAAGAACTCAAGCAAAGAAATGTTTTTCATCCTTACTGGATAAGGATTACCTGGAGGAATCAAGTAAAGGATCAGGTTACAAGGAAATAGAAGATTGTGTCTGTTTTAAAATACAGTTAAACTATCACTAATTGTCATGAAGTGGTACCACTTAAACACAAAGGCCTTTTCTTTTCTTTGGGGGGTAGGAGTATCAGGGAATGAATCCAGGGCGAATCCAGAGCCTTGACACTGAGCTATATCCCCAGCTTTTTTTTTGTTTTCTTTCTTTATTCTCCAATAGGGTCTCACTAAGTCACTGAGTTGCCCAGGCTGGGCTTGAATTTGTGATCTTCCTGCCTCAGCCTCCCAGAGTGCTGCGATTACTAGAGTACACCTTTCCACCTGCCAACAAAGTTTTTTATAGGCCACTTCTGGTACTGTAATTGCACTTAAAATATGTAATTAATTTTCCATTTAAAGCTGCCAAACCATTAAACCTTTATTGAAAACAGGGATAACTGTAAGAGATCATATCAAGTTGAATGTACAATACACTGAATGAATATTCTTTATTCTTGATGAAAGAAGCAATCTACATTTTAAGTAAAATTTAAAGATACTTTTAAATCTCAGCTGAACAAAAGCCTGTTAACTACTCAAAGGGCCATGATTCACAAAGAAGAATGTTATTCCTACTTTTATTTGCATGAAATACCAATCAAGAGTGAGTACTGTGTTCATAAATATACCAAGACTCAAGAAAGGTCTGAAATATTTGTCCTAAAAAGTCATAGAATTCTATTATCAAACACACGTGGCTTAACATGCAAAGCTCTGCAATCAATCCCCAGCATACATTCCCCTGAAAAACAGTCCACAGTGAATAGTGGGGCAGGATGCAATGCATTCTCATCCCCTATCAGAAACCCTTAAAGGACAGGTTATGGCAAAGGGTAAGAAAGTAAAGAACAAACTTGACAGCAAACCCATTAAAACACTATACAACAATGGATCACCACAACAGCACAATGTATAATTACCACTTTCATACAGCTGGCCAACAGCTTCTATCAATACACTTTCCATGGAGAATTCTAATACCAAACTAAAACTACAGCATTCATGTTGAGCAGAATGCGATAGAAGTGTCCTCTAACTAAAGCAGAGCAGTTGTAAAAACATAACAGCTACAAATGAAAAGCACCCGAAATATACCATATACAATATCTTTCTTTCAAAACCAGTGCTTTATAAATGTGGTCCGAAATCCCTGTGTTCTGTATTTCTTCCAAAATGAAGATCCCTAGGACCTGCCTTGAATTCGATTCATAACATCTGGGATGCTCAAGATACCTGCCCGTTCAGTTATAAATTTTTCAGATATGTCTGCAAAACACTGTCCCAAAAGGAATAAACTCAGAAAAACAGAATATTCCTGGTGACGCAGGTCGGTGCACCCTGAGTATCAAGTGTTGAGCACCACGCCTAAATGACGATCTGAGGTTAGGGAAGCCCGGAGGCTATGAAGCTACAGAGCACTAAGAGGCTCAGCGCTCACCGCCCTTCTCGTTTCCCTTCACTTTATCCCGGTCCAGCCCCTGGCCTGACATTCTCACCAATTCAAAGCAAAACCCTATCTGAAGTACAACACGAACGTAAATGGAGGCAGGGAGGAGTCGGGAGAGCACTACGCGTTCTCGGGCGTCCTCTTTGTCGTGGCACGACGGTGGCTCAGACCTCGCGCTGGGCCAAGCGTCCCAGCAGCCGCGACCCTGCGCTGGCACGCGAACTCCGAGCGACTGTGCCCCGGTGAGGTCTGCTCCACAGCGGCCCGCACACCAGGCGCACCGGGCTACTCACACTGACAAACTGGATGTCGTCTTCGTTCTCCTCAGCCGCGGACGCGGGAACCTCGGGTCTGGAGGGAGAGACGGAGTCCACGACCTGCAAAAGAAGCCAGAACACCTTAGCCTCCAGGCATCCCCGGAGGCCAGACCTCCCGCCAGGCGCGAGGGAAGACAAAGCTCGGACGGCCAACAGCCGCCCCGGGAACCCCGCGGCCGAATAGGGCCGCGCGCGGCCCCCCGGTCTCCACCGCCCCGGGAGCAGGGCGCGGGCGTAGGGCGGCCACCGTGGGCCAAGCGGCCGAGAGACGCGAGCCCGACAGTTGGCCTGGCCTAGGCGCTCACCTCTGGCCCGGGGTCGCCCATGTTCCCGACGCCCAAGAGAAACAGCGTCCCCACTGAACCCCTTCCCGCCTGCGCCTCCGCCCCGCCCCGCCCCACGTGCGCGCCGACGCCGTGACGCCACAGACAACGAGGACTCGAGGCCGCGGGGCGGAGCGGGGAGGGACGGGGCGGGGCAGCCGCTCCGGGACCGGCTTCTGCACTCTCTGCTTCCGACCTCCCGCCGCGGGGCATGCTGGGAATTGTAGTCCCAGCAGGGTCTTCCACACATTCCCATACGCATCCACTCTCCCCCCCCCCCCAGGCGGGGCCCCTCTACCGCAAGTGCAGTCTAGGTCCTATAGGACTTAAAACCCTTGGGAAACAGCAAAGCAGGATGTGCTGAAAAAATCTCCTACTATTCTATTCAGTAGTTGACGTTGCAGAGATTCATCCTAAGGATCTATTACAGGTTTATAATTGTAAAAACTGGAAAATAACTCAATGTGTAATAAATGGGGGAGGGAATGGTTAAATTTTGGCACTACATAGTCTATCAGTATAACATGGATAGAGTTTTTTTTTACCTCCCCTAACAGTGTTTACCTAAGATTTCTAAAAGCTTATTTTTCAAAAATGCCAGTGATACCAAAAAAAAAAAAAAATGCCAGTGATATATATTATGACAAGAACCATGTCAAACCACCAAGCAAACCATGCCTGAAATGGGGACCCTAATTAAATATCAATAGTTGTTGTTTTTTCTGGGTAGATGGAAAAGAGTTGTGTCTATAAGAAAAGATTTGAAGCCAGGTGTGGTGGCACATGCCTATAATCCCAGCACTTGGGAGACTGAGGCAGGAGAATCACCGTGAGTTCTAGAGAAGCCTGGGCTACATAAAGAGTTCAAGGCCAGCCTGAATTACAAAGCAAAAGAAAACAAAACAAAAAGATTTAAAGTTCACCAATAGAAAATTAGAAACATGCTTATAGTCCCCTAAAGCCAAGTTTATTTAGCTTGGCATGGCAAAAGAGACAACCTAAGGCAAATTTTCAGTTTTAGGAAGTTAAGAAGAGTTTGGTTTGGGGCCGGGGATTTAGCTCAGTGGTTCCGCCGCCTGCCTTGCAAGTGGGAGGATCCGAGTTCGATCCCCAGTACCAAAAAAAAAAAAAAGAAGAGTTTGGTTTGGGTAATTTTCTGGCTAGTCTTGTGAAGTGGGAGACTAGTTAAAATAAGAAGGGGTAAAGTTTGCTGATTGGTTCAGATTTCAAAATGGAACACTTTAGGGCAAATATTTGTGGATTGAGAAGTCTTGTTCTACTTGGGGTGTGAATCCATTATTCTGTTTTATGATTAAGGTCTTGAAGAAGATCCACCATTGGATTTGATAATCGTAATTTAATTCTCTTAGACAAACCTTAATGTTATAATGGATTGCTAAATTTACATTAGCAATCTTATGTTAATAGTCTTCCTTCAATTCATTACGTATGAAAGAATCCTAGATTTCAACTTTAGTTTCTATCAGTTCTTCACTGGCTTACCTCATTTATATTGAATGATTACTTACAGAAACATCTAAGCATTAGCTGCTAAGTAGTATTCAGAACTCTAAAGAACTGGTTTTTGACTAAGAGTACTTCATCGAGGTATCGATAAATTTTAAACATCCTGTCTTGGTTACTTTCTCAGGACAAAATACCTGACACCCACAAGTTGAATGAGGAAAGGTTTATTTCACCTCACAGTCTGTAGAGGTTTCAGTCAGTAGTTCGTGGGCTCCAAGGCAGTGCAGTATGACAGAAGAGCATGACAGAGGAGTTCATGGTGTGCAGGCAGGAGACAGTGAGCCTACCTTCCATCTTTCCCTTTATATTCCATCCAGGCTACAAGACTATTGGTTGGTGCCACCCACACCCAGACCTATATTAAACCAGTCAGTGGAGTAATCCAGTTATCATACTTTTAATCCAGTATCACACACTCATGATCCAGCCACCTCTCCAAAGTCCCATCTGTGAGTGCATGAGGCTTTGGGGGGACATCTAGATATAAGCCATAACACCCCCATTAAGAACCTTAATCTCACGGGTGTGGTGGTGCATGCCTGTAATCCCAGCAGTCAGGAGGCTGAAGCAGGAGGATCACCTCGGGTTCGAGGCCAGTCTGGGCTACATAGTGAGTTCAAGGCCAGTGTAAACTACATAGTGAGACCCTGTCTCAAAAAAACCCATAATCTGATAGTCATCAGTCTCCAAAAAAAGGGAAAATATCAGGATTGGTGTTTCTAACCTGACTACCATGAGCCACTAATTTACTTACAGAGTATTCAACTTGGCCAAAAGAATTTATGTATAAATGGCACCCAATTTTATTATGCTTTCATAAAACAAACACTTCTAATGCAATTCTATTATTAAAACCCTATTTAGTCTGGCCACAGTGGCTCATGCCTGTAATCCCAGCTACTAAGAGGCTAAGGCAGTTCTAGGCCAACTTGGATAACTTAGCAAGACCCTGTATCAAAAAAAAAAAAAGCCAAGGATGTAGTTCACTGGTAGAGAGTTTGCCTCACACATGCAAAGCCTTAGATTCAGTCTCCATTACCAAAAGAAAAAACTTTTTTTGGTTCTGCTGAAGTGCTCTGTTTTAAACTCTAGCAACTCAAATAGTCTTATTAACAATAATAGTGTATAGACATTTATCCCAAGACAGAATATTCTTCACACAATAAATAACTCAGGAATCAGATGTCATTGTTATTACCTGCAAACAATAAGAATAGAACAAACCATTTGATTTTGAAAGAGTATAAAGGATTAGTCCATAGGTTCATCATGCAATTTCTTTGCTCCTTTCAGGTCTGGAATTCTCCATAAGTGATACAAGTAAGAAAAAGAGCCTACTGGAGCACAGGACAAGAGAGGACAGCTCATGTCTATGCCTGGTTCTTAAATACAAGCTGCTTGATGCATTAGAGTAGGCTGTCATATTTCCTACTTTATTTTTTTCTTTATACAATTATTTTTTACTTTACATGGAGATATTGTTTCTTTTTTTAATAAATTTTATTTTATCCCATTCCCCTCCTTAAGCACCCTCCTCTCCCTATGTACAGAAGTTTTGTTTCCTACTTTAGCCTTCCAGACATTCTTCCTTTCAAGCAAAACCCAATCGCCTTTAAATTCATGACGGTGGTTTTTTGATGCTATTACTACACACTGTGAATAATTTGTAATACTTTGCACCTCCTTTTTAGAAATGTTTAGAGAATCAGTTTTATCATATTCTCTTATTTGTTGTTCCAGTTAATCTTTCTTGTTTTCTTGACTGAATTAAGACTTCTGAGGAGGTCATAGCGTCATGGGGGCTATACTCATCAGTGGGTTAATCTTCTGTTCATAGCTGAATGTGTTGTCAGGAAGAGAGGAGGAAGGGTCCAGTTGGAAAAGGTTGGACACCAGGAGCATAATCTTAGGAGGATATATCCTTCTCAGGTGTTCTTCCCTGGGCTCTGCTTCCCAGCAACCAGGAAGTGAGCAGCTGCTCACTCTTGTGTGCCATGCCCCTCTGCCATGATGGTTCTGCCTTGAGCCAGCTGACTGTGGACTGAAACCTCTGACACCGTATTTGCCTATGTAGGGCACAAATAAGCTTTTTCTTATCCTTTGAGCTTCAAATTTAGATCCTTCATATACCATGTGATATTGGGGAGAAAATAAATCAAACTGCCATTTTTGTTTTTATTAAATGTTTGGCTGGCATTTCTGTTATTGCAAGAAAATCCTGAATTGGAGTTAAATACACAGTAGGTTTTGTAGAACTTTTCACTAATTCCACCAACTGGTGAAGTATGCAAAAATCACTAAAATTATTTTCTTAATTCTTTCAGCAACCCTATAAGCTGGTGTTGATTAACAGTTTGCATTTACTTAACTGTACCTTGACACTTGGAGACCATTTTGAAAAACCTAAGCACAAATATTTATCAAGTTTTTGTTTGTTTTGGTGTGTATGTGGTACTATAGATTGAACCCAGGGCCTCTTGCATGCTAGGCAAGCACTCTACCACTGAGCTCCATCTCCAGCCCCTATCAAGCTTGTTTCGAAATTCTAATGAAATCTTATTTTTGACTTAACTGCCCTGAAAAAAATATTTTTCTCACCTACCACCAGAAAGCCTAATGACATATGGAAAATATTTAAAAATAGCTGCACAAATTTGATTTTAGGGCATGATTTTAAGATACTTCATAATTTTTATATCCTCTAAGATAAAATATGATTAGAGTATTTGTTGGGCAGTTTCTCTTACATTACATAACCTAAAACGTTTTGTAATTTTTCAGATTTTGAATTGATCATTGATACGGTTAGTTCCATATTCTGCAAGCAATTGTTTAGTGGCTTAACTGAAAACTCTACACATTTTTTTATAAACTATCTTTTTAGGCTTCACTCATAATTTCCAAACAATTTCTATAACTAAAAGTTAAAGTTAGTTTACCATTTATTTAACTAAAACTAGTCCTCTTGCATTCAAGAATACAAGCTATTTTAGGATATGTGTTGCTGAAGCAAACACAAGAATACAAGCTATTTTATATGTGAAATAAATTCATATTCCTTTACACTTGTTAAAATTTTTTGTTTAACATATAATTCTGAACTCAGGTAATTTCAATTGACACAGAACAGTTGTACACATTTATGGGGTACAATGTGCAAGTTTCTTTTTTGAATTTTGAAAGGTAATTTATTAAAATCATTGTATATTTGAATACATATGCATTCATATCTCCTAAGTTTTTAAATTTTTTTTTTGTACCGAGAATCAAACTCAGGACCTTGTGCTTGCCAGGTGGGCACAGTCCCACTGAACTAAATCCCCAGCGCCTATATCTCCTAATTTTTTCATAAACAACAGCTTGTTTTTTTCTACCAATGTAAACTGCAGTTGACATTCATCATGAAATCCGCAACATATGTTCTTGCAGTCTTGCTGACTGTTCCAGATATATTAGCTTCAGCATCTCTACTTGGTTCTTTTTCACTATGTTTTTATTTTAAATTTAAATTTTTGCTCATATTCATGTATAAACTAGAAAAATAATTCAATTATAATTAAAATAAGTATTTCAATTTAATTACCAATAATAATTTACATAAATATTCCTAGAATTCCTATAGTCTGCATAAAATATTCATATAAACATTTTAAATGTTACATGAATTCATTGAATAATTTGCCTTAATTGATCTGTTGATAAAGACTTAGTGATATATCCACTTAGAAATGATGTACAACTTTGACAAGCAATCATCTTACACAAAATAACAGAAATATGTACCTAAAAAACAGTAGTGTTAAGCAGAAAAATATTTTTATTACTTGTTTTTATATTTAATTGAAATTAAATAGATTACACTTTTACTTAGTCTGACCAAATTCATCTCAAGTGCTTAATAGTCACATATAGCTAGTGGACAATATACTATACAGTAACAGATATGAAAATGAGAGATGAGAACCAAAAGGCTTATGGTTTTTATTCCATTTCTCTTTATTTGTTATAGCTTCTAAGCCTTAGAACTTAGGAGTCTTTTTTTATTTTGCAAAGTGGAAATGGTTGGATGGTCTGCACAAGACTTCTTGGAATATACTGTCCCACTATAGCAGATGTGGGTCACTCTCTGAAAAACTGTAGTTCCTAGAAATGATCACCAATTTTCTCTTTAGAGAATGCCTTTTAATCAGAAACATGCTGATATTAGTTTAACTGGCTCTCTAAAAAATTTAAGTACATAAAGAATGCATAGCACATAATATACAGATGGT